GAGCAGATCCACTCAGTGCTGGGGAACGCACAAGTCGAAGAAGCAGTCCTTGCCTTCTACTGAGACATGACAAAGGACAGGAAAAACGATTTAAGCCCAGAATACATTTTCCTGGCAGTCTGGTCTATTGTTCAGTTTTAACATGAGAGTTACTGGGTTAATATCCATGAAAATGTAAAGGTATTGCCCAGACTGTTTGGAATAAGAATTGGATGGCTCAGATTGTGCCCTTTACGGAGCAAAAGGAACGATACTCAAACAAGGCGATGGACACATGAAGATGAAAATATTCCAAGTATATATCAGTGGAGTAGATTTCCCTTCTGAGTTTTCTTCCAAATATGGATCCCCAAAGTTAAGGAAATGTTATTAAATTTTTCATGTACATTGTGGATTTGGCATTGACTGTCTTTTGAACAACAGTGGACTGTCGTGGGGGCTCAATGGACCACACACAGCCCTTTTCCCAGAGCCAGTTCTGGCCACTACCCACTGGCCTAGACACCAAGCGTGGGAAGAGGGTGTTACCAACAGTGACCACCAGTCATCCTTCAGATCAGTACGATCCAACAAAAGGACCTGCCAGGAAGCTATCTATTTGTAATGAGAAAAGACTGAGAAAAGAGTATTTGACCTTGAGGGGCCTTGCTGATGTTGGGTCAAGGACTAAAAAGTCTCTGGTTCAAAAGTGGAACCAGCCGTGTTACCATGTTGTTATCTCGCTAGACCGGAAGGAATCTTACATTGACAGTAAGTGGTATCAAGAGATTGAAGTGTAGCCTTTGATAATTGGTCATGAAAGTATCTACAGCTCAACCAGAGAATGTGCAAGTGGGCTGCAGAGTGATAATGTTACATTAGTTTACACAAGGGTCTGTCAGCAAACCTTCCACCAACACCACTCAGTGAGCATGGGTTTACTTCTCATTAATCGCAGTGGTAAGGGGTCTTACCCTGTAACGATCTTAACATATGATTTCAGAGCTGCGGCTTTGTACTGGGTTTCCTCGAAACAGTCATGGATGCATTTTCACCCTTGACAAATTGATGCACTGAGTGGTCTTTCCACCATTTTGAATGGAGCATGGCACCATTGGCAGATGGGATTGAAACTGTAATGGGATTTTCCCTCTGATGTTGTTTATTTTTCCTCTGAATTGCAAACTCAAATCTTAACAAAAATGTAGTCTGCTCATGGATATTCTTAGCTTACGCCCATCAGCAATCAAAGACAAATCTAAAAACATGCCAAATACTACTCGTTGATGAAGTCACCAGATAAGATGAGCTAGAAAACTTCAGAAATTGGCCTTGCTTAGCCAAGCTTAAATTCCTACAGTTTTAAACACTGGTCAGTGTCAGTATCACTTGGTTTTCTCACTCACCCTGCTTCGATCCATTTTTTTCCCTTGTAAGGCTTATTTTACTCTGTTCAGTCCATGAAAACTAGTTCAAAAACTAGCCAAACTAGCCAAAACTAGTCTAGAACTTACCCATTTAGTCACTAGACCAGTGACTAGTCTGCACAAGAATTGCTACTTAGTTAATCAATAATTTTGCCATGCAAGTCACTGATATGTTGTGATTAAGCTGTACCACAGCCCGCTTCCAACTAGCCAGGAATGTAGCTCCACCTGGGAGGCTCTATTGCCTGGCTTTACACAAGCACACATGACAGATTGAATCTTATAGCAGGGCTTGGTTGGACGGTATTTTAAACCAGAAAATAAAGATAATGTATGCCAGATGTGTCGAAACAGTCATATAACCATTTGAGTGGGGCAATGCTCAGCAGAGGCATGGGTACATGTGGACATTAACCTCAAAGGAGGACCAATGGCTTATGTTGCTAGTTCTGCTAACATTAGCCACATTTAGCGAACCAATGGGACTGTTTATGTCCAATTCTCTACCTGTGTCCCAATCCAGGAGTTTAAGCCTTCAAAGGACTCAGCAGTTGTGGCCTGCATAGACCTGTCAAGCTAAACTAAATTGAGACAGTCTACCTTTTGAAGGATTGTGTGCTAGCATCACCACCATGACAATGGCGTCACGTAGCCCCACTTTTCGTCACTTAGCAACAGGTGGCAACCTGGCTTAACAGCTAGCAAAGTGTTCAATAACTCAAACACCATCACCAACTCTTCAAAGATGATTTCAAATTGAGATGAGTCCATTATTTATGACATTTGTACCGCTTGAGAATAAATGGAAACCAATAGTATTATTTAAGCACATTACTCGGCAGTTTGAGAGTCTGTTTTCCTGATTATATCAGTGTGCTAAAAATCACAGGGTAAGCAGAGCCACGAGGGATGCACCTGATGGCCTTGAAAAAGCTGGACACATTTGTTGGCCACATATGGAGGGGCCTTTGAAATGGGACAGGCTTTGACTGACCACTGTGCTTTATTTGCTCTTTAAATTCAGCCTTTGATGGCTGCAGTCCCTGGTTTTGGATACAGCATCTGATCTTGTGTGTCGTGGTGTCAAACAAATTCTGTTCGATCAGACTGTTTTAAAGTAGCCTGTTGATTAGGATTTAAATTTCTGTTTCTGTAGCAAAAAAAGGACAGACAGAAGGAGCGATCACAAGCATAACAAAAGGGTGGATGGGAGCAAAAATATTGTATCATGAGGCCGAGTGACACCCAGACTGCTGGCATGTTGGCTTGTGTATGTCTGGCTGTCATGTTGTTGTTGTTATTGTTGCGATGCCCATTGTCTTGTGTGGGTAAATCTGAGACTGGCATAAACTCATCTATTGTATAAGAACAGTTGTTCACCTATCACAGCATAAAAAGCAGAAAATCAGCTGGGGCATCAGCTTTCATTCTTGGAGGATTCAAGTTGTTCCCTTACGGGATCCACTGTTACATAAACATAGAGTGTCTTATGGGGTTATATAATTGTGTTATTCATACTGCATGATACAATCAGCCACGAGTCAGCTTGGGTGCAGAGCCTCGAACACAAGATGTGAACAGTAAACATAAGAGAGTCTGTGCTACTGTGAAACATGGCATACCTAATTGTACAGTGGTCACCCACCAGGTCTAAATAGGGTTCAAGACCACACAGTACGACGTAGGCCCACTGTAGGAAACACTAAGAGGCTGAGCTTTCTTCACCGATTGTTTTACTTTAGGGAGATCCATCTGCGTATATCCCAAAATACACAATTTTCCATCTTTATCTGATTCATTTCTACACCTCTCATTCTTGGTACAGTGTGCCGCCATTGTGACCGAGGTGTCTGCAGAGTTTCAAGCACCACTTTTGATGCACAAGTTATGATAAACTTCTTGTATTTGACAGCATGCTATAGCATATTTGACAATAATACACATATGTCAACATAATGCCAGAATGATCTTGACACATTTTAGAGGGACCTATTGCTGAAAATTACATAAGTCATTAAAGCTTCGACGGATGAGTGATGAGGAGGTGAGATTTAAGAGGTGTTAAGTTGTGCCCTTACTCAAGAGGCTCGCCCCCACCTTCCCCACACACACACAAAAAAAAAACCTCTAACAAAAAAAAAAAAAGAAAAACAAGAGATGTCTTTGTGGATTTAACTCCATCACTGGCCAGCCCAAGTTTAGATCACCCCCTCCTGCTAATGACACATTCAAATTAGCTGTGGTTAGGGTTTTCTTCAAATACGCAGCTAGATTCACACAAATTCTTCCCCCCACCTCACCTCTCTCTGGTCTGGCCTAAGAAAACCACACGCCGGGGTCACTGAGCTCTTCTCAAGCCAAACCAGACCCATAATTTTGCTTTTGTTTCAGATGTAGCCTCAGAGCCTGAAATATAAAGACCCAGGCCAGCCTGGGAAGGTCAATATGTTGAAGGAAAGAGTGAGATAGAGAAAGAGAATGGGGAATAATTGAAAGAAAGCAAGAATGAGGGATAGTGGGAGGAATACAGGGTAGAGAGAGAGAAAGAAAAAGAACTCAAGAGTGCTGGTGAGAGTGTAGTGGTTTCCGATCTGTTGAGGAAGTCTTTATTATACAGTACGTGTGTGGACAGGAAGAGCTGTGTAACAAGGAGTAGATCTCGCCAAACCACTGGCCATTACTGACCAATGTTGACCATTACACCCAATGAGCTTTAACTGTTTCAGTGCAGTGCTTTCCCAAGGTTGGCATGACAGGGAGCATTCACACTTAAGTGACGTCTCTTAATGAGACATGAGAGCAATTTACAAAGTCTTCCACATGGGAAATTAGAGGTTTTAGTGTGGCGTAGAATATTTAAACAATCATCTATGACCTTGTGTCTGACACAATTCTACAGCTGTTAAGAAGACTTACTTTTTTGAATCATTATCTCCCGATGCATGTCGAGTAATAGTTTTTGTCTTTTAAAATCAATAACCAGGTCTGTGGAACTGACCCCGCAGATCTACTTTTACCACAGCCATTCATAAATCAGCCATCTAAAACATGCTTAACTCACAATATGTCGTTTATTCTGTGTAAGGTCCTTGATGCCAAAAGTCTTTCCAACAATGGCACTATATACACAGTCTCTCTTCCTAATTTATACACAGCTGACATTTAGGTGGGCCAAACCAGAGCTCCAGTCATGATGAAACAAGTTTTCTGCCAATCACCACCTTGTGTTAAAATCAAAAAGGTCAGAATACACACACCATAAGGCTTCCATTGTAACAAATGGAGAGGAGTGGAGGTGGTGTGGTGTAGGGGGTGATGGACTGAAAACCCAGAAACCTCAACCTCCTTTAAAGAAAAACAAACCAGTTTTATTTGAGAGCCAGCTCGTGTATTCTACTCCCCTGACCTCAGGAAGCTTTCCCTTTCAGTCCAGCTCTGGACACATTGTTCCACCAAGAGGGGACCATGCAGATCTGTGACACATGTGATGGGCAAACTGTAGCGTGGCCTTGGCCGCAAAAGCAGCAACACTGGGCCTCTGGAGCCTTGTTTCGTGGGAAGCTGGGGCCCGAACCACAGATGGACAATAACATGGTTTGCTTTAGGGCTGAAACGATTACTCGAGTAACTCGAGTAACTCGATTAATAAAATTCCTCGAGGCAAATTATATGCCTCGAGGAATCGTTTAAATCCGGAACCATGTGCAGCGCACGGTGTTTGACACGGACGGTTATTTCTGTTGCGCAGCAGCGTGCTCTTTCCGCTCCTTCCGCTGCCGCGCGTTTGGTTCAATCATGGGCTGTGTCCGAAATGGCATACTGCCTACTATCTACTTACCTACTCAAGCAGTAGCTACTGCCTACTGACTACTCAAAGATGATTTGAGTATGCCGCGGCTGCCCGAGCGTTTACACACATACATACTACATACCCCAGAATGCATTTCGTGCCGGCCGGACGCAGCGCCGGGAAAATTTAAATAGTCCTACCACAAGCTACACAGAACGACTGCATCCCGGACAAATTATATAAATTCATTCAATTATAATATTTTTTCTAGCGAGAAAGTAAGTGTTTACATCACGATTATGAGCCCAGTTGTTTGAAATAGTTGCTGTTTGTAAATTTGTCTCGGCGTTTTCGGAGACCGAAGCGTCCACTTGGTCGGTGTTTGCGTCTATTTACCGTAAACACCGGGCAGCAGCAGCTCCCCCTTCACGTTTCCAAATTATTGCGAAGTTTTTTCATAATCAACATCTACACGACACAAACCGGGCGACAGTGGATGAAAAAAATCACACAAACATCCGTGTATCCATGGTGATAATGCTATACACCACCTGCTAGGCGTGTGATGAGCAGCAGAGGGCTGCAAAATGACCAACACACAACATAATTATTATGACCTCGTTCGGTTATTCCTTGGCAAATACATCATTTCCCGACTACATTCTTTTCATGTACAATGATTATTTCAGAAACCATCAGATTTTCAATCACAAGTAAGAATTAGTAAAGCTCACATAGATTGTCAACTGGAAACTCCCCCGTTTGTATATTCTGAACCATGTGCTCTCTACCAAAGATAATTTTTATTAATCAGAGGTCTGAGCTTAATATGAGCGACCACTTTGATGATGCATTCAGAGATGAGAAGATGCTCAAACTTGATGTAATAAATACATCTTTAATAGACACTTAAATAAATAAAGTCAATTCATACGAATAGTTAAAAACATTACTTATAATCCTAATTTAAAATACAAATAAATCTGGTAAAAAGATCAAAATATGATAAAATGATGAAAATTGTGTAATGTATACTGACTAAATATTGTTTATCTATTTATATATATATCATTATTATTGCAATCACATGCCATCTATTTCTTTTCAGCCTCGGGAAGGAGGGCCATATTACCAGCTGAGGTGCGCAATGCATTGTGGGGCAGAAGCAGTACGTGAAGCAAGCTCCGTTGCACACTCAGAAATCGAAGCTGATTGAGTATACATCCGGGCATTTCTCGCATACACAAAATTCACATACTGTACAGTGTGAACGCACTGCCTACTCAATTCAGAGGCGGGGTTAGTAGGAGTAGTAGGAGTAGTAGGCCATTTCGGACACAGCCATGGAGGGAAACGAGGACAGACAGAGAGAGGAAGAAAGAGATGACACGCAGAGGAAACGGCAGAAAGTGTCTAAAGTGTGGGACCATTACACACTGAAAAGGAAAGAAAACGCCGTGCAGTGCGTTCACTGTAAGGCGGAGTTGGCGTTTCACAACAGCACGTCGTCAATGCTGCAGCACCTTAAAAGAAAACACCCGGTCCATGCATTAAGTCCGCAGAGCGGACCATCCATGCATTAAGTCCGCAGAGCGGACTTAATGCATGGATGGTTTTTAATGAGGCAAACGTGATTCAATGCAAAGTATTACAGTGAGAGCAAAACATTTCTTATCCGATTACTCGATTAATCGACAGATTAATCGATAGAGTACTCGATTACTAAAATAATCGATAGCTGCAGCCCTAGTTTGCTTGGCGCACATTAGCTCTTTGTGTATTATATGACATATTGCTTGGCTTAGCATTACCTATTGTAAAACTATCCATAATCATTTAACCTCATGAGGAGATATTGAGTAATGACAGGCAGTATAAGGATATAGAATGACATTCGTACAAGTATCTCTGGATATTGAAATAGAAAAATATTGTGTGAAAATAAATGGAACTGAAATGTAAACCACAGCTAGGCTTGACATAACACACAATACAGCAGCTGCACTTTGTTCTGGCTTTACTTTCCAGTGATTAAACCTAGGCTTATACATTTATTGTTTATTACAATAGTATTGTTTTCAATTATTGTTTGTTTCTGCTTATCTGTACACATTTAGCAGCATTTAGCTGGCAGGTCTTGAGAAGCTTGCATGCTTTATGTAACTGTGTTCATCAGGTTTAATCTGGTTTTGAAAAAAAAAAAAAAAGCCAAATATATCATTTTAGACATTTAAGAATAAAAGCAATATTAATGTACAGGTTGCACATCTCTGTTTAAGTTGTGTCACAAGTGATGTAATGTTATGCCACCACAGAAGGTCCCGGCGGTAAAGTATACCTTTACATGGACTACAAAAATTCTCGTGGAGGTTGAATTTTTAAAGCAGATATGAAACTCATATGCCTTATCAAATCCACAAATCTAAGACATGCAGAGCCAGTTCCAAGTTGGTTCCAGTGCTCTAGCTTTACTGTGGTTCATTTTTGCATTAAACTCAAGAAGTGGTGGAACATGGTTCCTTTGTTCAGTGCCACTGTAGAAACATAGTGCTCTCCATGAAGGTGTTCCTTACGTAGACATTCTAAGGTAATAAAGACACAACAGTTTTGTATTCAGGTGTTTATACACTGATTTAATCATACGTGAATATTATATTCCTTATATGACAATGTTTGCTGTGCTTTATTCCACTAAATACTACACAGTGTACACTTAAGGAGTTGGCCTCATAAATATTCTGACAATTGTGCTGTTGAAAAATTGCCAAGGGAACCGGCATTACCAGTATCCAGTAGCCTTTTTGTATTGATGGATTAATTGATAGATTGACTGATTTATCAATACCAGCCGATACTTCTTTGTTATCACTGCTAAGGTCTATCAAGGAATTTCATATATGGTCTTGGTCACACCAGAAAGAGCCCACCATGGGGAGATTTTCTTAATGTACTGACATACTTTGAATTCCCTTTTTTGCTCCATGCAATCAACTCACAGCCCCTGATATTGAGCATGAAACACAGAAATGTTAGCATCTGGCTGATCAGGTTATGTGTTATATTCAAGGTCAGTGAAATTGCTAAATCTCAGACACATTACTGTAAATGCTGTACACACACTCTCTACATTGCAAAGTAAACAACCTTAACTGCAGCCTAAAGGGCAACAATTTAACCCTGGGTATATGACTACTTCTGCTGTGGATTGTTTATTCCTTAGAAGAACGTTTGCTGTAGGTAATTGCATCTGACAAGGTGCCCTGTGACAAGAAACCACACAAAGACATTATATGCTCATAGTTTGGAAAGAAATGTACACTTGTCAGCATTATGATTTATTTTGCCTTGGTATGGTAAACAAGATGAGACAGGCAATTCCTTCCTCTCTGAAACCAAGAATTTCAGAGTGGATTCCATTCCTCTCTCATTTCATTTCATATTTCGTACAGCCCATTTGAACAATTGTGTTATTATGGCAGTGTAAATAGACCTTTGCACTGGGCAAGACTTCAAGAATGCTGATGATGTGTTAGCTGACACTATAAGCACCGCAGAAAGCTACAGCCTCATTTATTGTAGATTGGTGGCCCCAGTGATAGGTGGGTGGTGTTTATTGTTAGCCAATCATCTGCACCGGCTGCTATAGAATGACTATTTAACCTGAATTAGTGTCAACCTGAATAGAACAAAAAAGACCAGTTTGAAACTGCAAATGTGCTAAACCTTGTTGGAAAGGTGCTCCCTGAATCTGGTATTTCATGACGCCATCTCCAAACATTTGTGTTAATCTTGCAAATTGACATAATTTTTAGAGAGCAGCTATTTTACCCTCTCTTTACTGTGTAACCACTCCAGATGTTTGGAGCACTGTGTGTTATTCAGGTTTGGTCATACTTAATTCTCTAAATTGAACAAAATCATAAAGTTCATGCAAATGTTGCCTTACCTTAAAGGAATATTCTGGTTTAAATTTAAGTTGTTTGATGTCTAGTACTATGGCTATGACTATGAAGTTAGGTGCTGTTCTGAGGATTATTTGTTGCTTTGAGTGGCTTTTTGTTGAGGTTTACACGTGCAGACGTAGACCACTGTGTATTGTTATCATGCGGTCGTTGCTTAGGATGGTGTAACTAGAGAAGCAAGCAGTCGGCAACATTCATCTCTCGAGGGGGTGTCTAACTCGATGTTACGGTGTGTTTGACCATAACTTAAATTTACGCTGGAATATCTCTTTTAAAGAAGATGAATAAAGACTACCAGGGCCTGATCACCATACAAAACTTCCATTAGACCTCAACTACAATACGTTTAAGAAATGGAATTGAATAACTGAACACAAATACTGTTAAAAACAAAAGGAAAACACAAGGCATTGAACAGCAAAAGAAGAAAATGTGAGCTGGTAGTCGTTTGAGATACAAGAGTAGTGCTGTGAGATTCAGAAAAATCCAAAGATTGTGAATGCCACGCGTGATGTCGCAGATAGATGCCCTGTTGCTAGTTTGTGCCGCTGCTAACAGGACCGGTGTTCTGTGTAGTGTATGCTGTCAGTGCCTGCACCTGTCAGGCATGTGAAAGTGTTGTGTGAACCAACGTTGTTGTGTTTATCTCACATGAATTTCTGTCTTAATTCATTTCATAACCTGGCTCGGCTACAGCTCAAACACAACAAATGATCGTATTTTGGGCCAACGACAGTCAAGATATTATCTATAGGTGTAATTATGTCATGATTTTAATGGTGACCACTTTAACATTTCCCTTTTGTCCAGAGGGATTAAAGCTTTTTTAAACTGGGAATGCTGATGGTATTAAATGGCAGTCTAATGTTTTTGCTTGCTGTGTTTCTGCGGCAAAAATTTACAGATGATATTCAGATTTTTGAAAATACTTCACTACTTCAAAATCACACTTATAACTGCTGCAGGAGGTTGATTATGGTTTCAATACTGTCAATAAAACCTTCCATAATATACAACCAGAAAAATTCATGTGTACTAACCAAGGCTGTGGACAGCATTTCTTCACTCTATAAATTTTGCTTACACAGCTGACTTAAGCCACAGTGGGCAAGGCCAAGTGAAAAAAGTTAACCTGGATCATGTGCAGGGTTTGGATTAACCCCATCTTTCCCTCACTGCATTCCCCAGTGCTCTGGCCTTGGCTGCCCTCTTGAAGCTCCCATTAACCTGCACCAAAGACCCCCGCCAAACCATTCCAAAGATATACAGAA